GGGCTGTGCCAGGCAAGACCTTGGGAAGCGTAGGTTCGCCATAGACAACTTCCATGCCCCCACTGCTTTTTCCCCATAGGGTCTGAGGTGGCATAGAGGCAGGGTGGGCCAGCCGGATGCACCCACGACCCTGCACGACTAGGTGTCGCTCCAGAGACCCTTCCCCCCCAGCAGAGCCTACGAAGCACAACTTACAAGAAAAGCCAGTGGGAGTGGGAGAGACTCTGCCTTTCCTTCTCTCAAACTGAGGCTGTGAGGAGAAGAGCTCATCTCACCAAAGGGAAAAGCTACCACTGGTTCCAAGACCTTTCTTTAGCCCATGTCGGTCGCCTGATCCAGTACTTACCATCCATGGGGGAACGCCCTCTGGAGCCCTGCGGTCCTTCCCAATCCTGCTAAGTTCTCAGGAAATACTGGTGAAGAACTGAGCCCAGAGCAAGCAACGTGGGATCCACAGAACAACAGCCTTTTACAGCAGCAGCCACCCCTGATTAAAATTATCAGCTTCATCAGACTGCACCAAGACCCAGGACTGCTCCTCCAAGGAAAGAGGTAAGAAAGCAGCATGGAGTTTGAGATGAAAGTAGGAAACAAACATCCCGCAGGAATGATTGTGGTGTGCATGAAAATTACAGGGATACTAGTAGTGATTAACAAATGACAGGTCTGTTATGCATGGTACAGTTTGCATCTGCCTATGTCCTTTTTAGCTGGATGCAGTGAATTACATTGGGATGGCAAACAGAGACACAAACAGTAGCTGAAGACTGCGGAGTGCAAGAGAGGTAGTTCAGAAGTCTATTCATGGATAGGGAGTGGCAGGGAGCATACCCCCTGACGGGAGGATGGAAACCTAAGGTGTAAAAGATCTAGGCAGGTTAAATAAAGAATGTCTTCCTTAGATATCTCTCTCCAGATGCTCAGGATCAAATTTGTCAGCACCTCACTGGAATTCAAACAAGCACTCTTCAGAGCATGCAAAAGCAGCTGCATTGTCATTCACTCCAATGTCTGCCTATGAAACAAGCAGCGGTGGTTAGCAGGTAGAAGACAACACAGGGAGTCAAAAGAAATGGGGTTTAATGTTGATTTTTGACAGCTGTTTCAGCGCTCTCTGGGCGTATGAGCCTTTCCCTTTATTAAGTGGAGATAACACTCATTGCCTACATTTCTATGATATTTTTAAATCCCTGTGCTGTACCAATGTAAAATACCAATGTAAAGTTTCTAGCATCAAGCCAGTGCATAAAGCAGAAGGTACCACTGGGAATTAATCTATGCTTAAACATTTAATAAACTGGAAGGAAAAGATGTAGATTAAAGCCAGCTGGAGGTTGTTTGTCTCTTCATTCTCTTCTGATTGATTTTGCTTTATTTAGTACATGAACATGTGGTCTCTTTCTGTTTCCTTTCTTCTGTCTTTAATCTTTTTCAATGTATGAGTCCCTGTGCTCCCCTCGACCCCTGGGTGTGAAGGCTGAAGGTTCATTCCTTTTCTGAAGAGGAAAGAAGGCAGATTGTATTGAACTGGAGAAAAACTGGAGCGGGGGGATAAGAAGGGAAAGCACGAAACACAAATATAAGCTCTCCATTCAACGGCATGCTCTGAGTCAGATTTGCAGCAGAGGTGATGAGATGAGTAGCAACTCCATGAATCAAAGTGCTGAAAAGCATCTTTTGACTCCGCGTGAAATGAAATGCAGTCAGGAAAGCACAAAAGTCCTCTTGACTGAATGTCTTGACAGGTGGAACAAGGACAACATAAAGTGACTATTTAATACATTAAAATCTGCATGTCCTCACACCCCTTCTTTCCCTTCAGTGCATCTACATCCTTGGGGCAAAGTGTCCTGAAATGGGCACATGTCTGCACATAGTATTTTGCCTTTGACGAGGGTGGGAGGCAGTGTGATTTAATGACCAGAGATGCAACGGTGAGGAAAGGTGGGAAGGAGAAAGAGTTTGAAAGGTAGGAGTCCCAGAGTCTGTTCACGTTTCTCATTTGTTGGACCTTGGGTGGTCACTCAGCTTCCTTGTGCCTTACTCTTCCCCGTCTGTGAGTAGCTGTGGTGGCCATTCCTTCTCCAAGCTGTTCAGTGTACAGTGCCATTAACTGAGGTCCAAAGCAGTGGAATAAATTTCAAGGTGGAGGACAGAAGTGCCTCTTGCACTAAAGGTGCAGAATTAACCCTCCAAGCAGCTGCAGTGACACAGTTCACCTCCTTTGCTGTGTGATGGGAGTTTTTCTAATCACCAGCAGCTCAGTGGTTACCTGCCAGTCAGCAATATAATTTGTAGGATTTTGGCTTGTAAAGCTGCTGGCCAGGATCAGGTCCCCCAGAGTGCATGTTCTTTACAGGACATATAAGGCATTTGCTTAAAAAGCGTAACTGTGCTTACTCCCAGATGCTGCCGCACCAAGTTTTATGAAACTGGTCTTCAGCAGGTGTGAACCAACACAGTCCACTTGCCCTCATGCAGCTACACTGGTCCATCCCAGTCTGAAGAGCTGACTCATTTCTAAATACTGATCCTGGGCTGTAGAGAAGTTTGTAGTTTTTCTCACAAAATCTATCTCCCTGCTTTTCTCTGCCAGCTAAATAAAGCCTGAGAGGGTGAAAGGAAGCATCCCAAAGCAGCTCTGTCACCATTTGTCTGCCCATGGATGCAAGACAGTATTGGACTGGCTACATAGGAAAGGGCAGAGATAGTGTACATGGCAGTGTTGTTTCAGAGGCTGAACATAGTGTTTCTGCAGTGTTGGAGATAGGTCCTCTTCTAAATAAAACACAGAGTCCAGTTCAAATACCAGATGTGCTCCTTGCTGTCATTCCCACCACAGCAATCCCAACAGTACCATAACTCTGCATGTGTGTGTCCATCCAAAGTTATGTTCCGACATTACTGTCTGACTCTAACATTATGCTGTCCTGCTCACTGAATATAATTCAGAGTGTAAGCTACTCTGAGGAAAGCATTGCATTTTCTTCTGTGCTTTAGATAGGGCTGAATGTGCTGTTGGTGTGCAGCAAATTATAGCAATAATAATAAATAGTAGTGTTTTGCTGCTGCCTTGGGCTATAGCACAGCGCTTGTAATGATGCTGGATCAGAATTCCAGAGACTTCTTTATTTAGCAGTGACCGTATCTTCACTGCTGCTTTGGTGCTTAGCACATGTTAAACAAAGTAAAAGATTTTAAGCTTTTGACTGAGATAAGTGTCAGCTACATAAAAGCTTGGGAGATAAAATTCACTCAAGGAAAAGATAGGAATCCAGATCTGGACCCAGAAATGATCTTTCAGTGTACATAAAGTACTCGCATTGTAATATTAAATAAACAACACCTAAGTTAAATAAACAGCACAGTGGGAACTTGATTATTCTTTAATAAGACCCTAGTAACCAAAATAAACTCTGTCAAAAATGTGCCTTCTTTGCTGTAATGGTTAGCTTTCCCCACACAAGGGTTATATTTTTCCTTTCAGCACACTATTCATTTGAACTGGTACATGAAAAATGTCTGAGCAACGCCCTTCCCCCCCCCCCCCCAATCTTC